TTTGTGGCAGCCCCTCAAATACTGCAATACTGCTATCATGTCACCCCTATTTCTTCTTTTTTTAAAACTAGCCAAACCTGCAGCCAATCTTCATAGGTTTTAGTTTCCAGGCCTTTGATCATTGTGGTTGCTTTTCTCTGAACTTTTTCCAAAGTCTCAACATTTTTTTTGTAGTATGGTGAACAAAATTGGTTGCAGTATTCCAGGCGTAGTCTTACTAGGGCTTTATAAAGTGATACTAATACTTCATGTGATCTTGATTTTATCTCTCTGTTTATACAGCCTAGGATTGTATTCGCTTTTTTTGTCTGCTGCTGCACACTGCTGGCTCATAGTCAATGAATCATCCAGTTGATCACCTAATCTGTACTTATAGCTTTGATTTTTCCTGCCTAAATGTAAAACTTTGCTTTTCTCCACATTAAAATTCGTTTTGTTGAATAGGACACTTTGTTCAAGTCTGTCAAGATCTTTTTGGATTCTGACATCTTCTGGGGTGTTGGCTATTCGTGCCAGTTTAGCGTCAACTGCAAATCTGATGAGTTCCCAATCTATTGCCTCATCTAAGTCATTTATGAAGATATTGAAGAGTATTGGGCCTTGTGGTACCCCATTGCTTACTTCTCTCCATATAGATGTAGTGGATGTAGTACCACTGAGGACTACTTGTTGAGTATGGTTTGTCAGCCAGCTACAATCTATCTGGTGGTGATGTTGTCTATCCCAGGGCTTTTCATCCTTTTTACCGATTGTACCACTTTTAGGATATGACAATATTTGAGTACCACCTAGCAAGGTGTCAAAAACTTGATGACCAAAAAAAAAAAAACCTGTTCAAAGTTGCAATTGCACTGAAATGACTTATGACAATTTTTTGCACTTATGACCATTGCAGCATGCCCAGGGTCATGTGATTTATATTTGGATGCTTGGCAACTGATTCATATTTATAATGGTCACAGTGTTCCAGGGTCATGTGATCCCCTTTTGCATACCTTTTGACAAGCAAAGTCAGTAGCAGAGCTGCTGGTGGCCAAGTGCTAAGGCAGGACTTCCTTTCCTCCCTCCCTTCCCTGCCTCCCCTTTTCTCATTCCCATCTCCTTCTGAAGGATGAATTTGAACCCTCCCATATTTTCCCTCTTCCATATATTGATCAAACAGGGAAAAGCCTCCAGAGACAGAAAAGACAAGCTGCTGAGTGAACTAGCTTAAAAAGGCACATTCCCCTCTAAGAATTAGCTACTGGCTAGAAAGGAAAGAGTGCAGCCGGCACTTAAGGAAGAAAAAAAAATGTAAGTGCTGGCTACGGGCTAAGGCAACCTCCCCAAATGGCTCTATTCATAAGTAAAAAAATGCTACAGGCAAAATCCATTCAGGAGAAAAATACTTCAAAATCCCTTGCAGCAAAACTTACAGCTAACAGCAGAACAATAGAAGCTAACATGAGACATCAGCTATCAGCCAAATAGAAATTGCCAAACACTCCTTAAGAACATAAAGCCCTCATTGCACAAATCCCAGAACGTCAAAGTCACAAAAGTACATAAGAATCCTTCCAATCTCCATCTCCTTCCCTCCTCCATACCTCACCTCCAGCCATTGCTGCCTTTTTAATTCCTCTTGGAGGGTGACCCCTCCCCCGCTGCATTTCTTGCCGGTTTGCTGCCACAGGTGGCTGCCACAGCAGTTGTAGATTGGCTCATGGCCAGCCTGCTTGATCTACCCTCCCCCACCCTCCCCCTTCGTGCAGCTGACTGCCTCCTCCCAAGGCTGCTGCTTTTTTGTCTCTCTCCCTCTCCTGCCCAAACTGCCTCCTTTTATAGGCTCTCCTGTCTCCCCCTCTTACTTCTTTCTCATGGGGGAGGGTGAGCCAGAAGTGAGCCTGGGGCCTTTGCAGCTCCAGAGGACTCTCTCACTGTAAGTCCTTGCCTGTGCTGGCTCTTTCCCTCCCCCACTACACTTGGCTAGGCAGGGCTGTGTACCACCTGCCACTCATTAATGTACCATAAATGATAACGCATACCACCGGGTGAAAAGCCCTGGTCTATCCCACCTTTTTCTAGCTTACTAAGCAGCAGGTCATGGTGCCTTACCGAACTCTAAGTATACTATGTCCACAATGTTTCACTGGTCTACTAATTTAGTCACTTTATCAAAGAATGAAATAAGATTGGTTTGGCATGATCTGTTTTTAAGAAACCCATGCTGGCTACCAGTTATAACTTTGTTTGCTTCTAGTTGTTCGCAGATCTATTTGTTAATTATCTTTTCCAGGATCTTCCCAATTATTGATGTTAGACTGATTGGTCTGTAGTTTCCTGGACCCATTTTTTTTCTCTCTTGAAGATGGGAACCACATCAACCCTTTAACAATCCTCAGATTCTTCCCCGGTGCTCCAGGATTTTTGAAAGATATGGTACAGAGGTTCTGAGATAACATCTGCCAGCTCCTTCAGAACTCTGGGATGTAATCTGTTGGGACCTGGTGATTTATATTCGTCAAAGTTGGATAGATGTTCTCTTACCAGTTTCTTGCTTATTTTAATTTTTGTTTCTAGTTTGTCTTTTGCAGTAGTTTTTTTTATATGTTGGGCTATAATTTCTTTTTGTGTGAAGACTGATGCAAAGAATGAATTAAATAGCTCTATTTTCTCCGTACTGCCTGTTACTTCCTTACCATCTTCTCTCTTTAGTGGACCTACAGTTTCCTTGACCTTTTCCTTGTTATTAATATGTTGAAAGAAACTTTTTTTATCGTCCTTGATTTCTGTTGCAAATCTTTGTTCATTCTGAGCCTTTTCTTTCCTGACTTCATCTTTTCATGTTCTGGCTGTCTGCTGATAATCAGCCTCTTTCCATTTTTTGTACTTGTCCTTTTTGACTTTCAGTTTGTTAGAGAGATCTTTGTGCAGCCATGCTGGTTTCTTCTTGAATTTCTTGTTTTTCTATTTTAGTGGTATGTTATGGACTGGCCTCTCATGCTTCCTGAATTGTTTTCCCCTTTAGGATTTTTCTCCATGTAATCTTTCCTAGGTTTTTTCTGAGTTTGTTAAAATCAGATCTTTTGAAATGTAAGATACTGGTTGGACTATTGTCTATTGCTTGTGTTTACATTATACTGAATTTCAGTATGACATGGTCACTTTCACCCAAGGTTCTGGCAACTTCAACTCCCTTTATCATTTTTTCCCTATTATTAATATTATGTGCTCCTGGCTACTTTCCTTCGTGACCAGAGGCAAGCTCGCCTGACCAATAACCAGCCAAGACACAGTGAAGGCCTTTTATTTCATTTATTGCAATAAGCGGGGAGAGAAGCTATCAAAGCTTGGTTCTCTCCAAAGTTTTAACCCAAAATATCTCCTTCTTTTATTCATCAGTATCACTGGCCGCTACATCCCTCCTCTTTCCCCATTGGCTGAGGTAGTATGAGGTTACACTCTTTCCGACCGCCTATACACATTTCCTGATAACATATTAAATTATATTCACATATACAATAAGAATAAGAAAAATTAGACATTTAAATGGTTATTTTAAACTCAGTAGATATTTATGTCCCCATTTTAAACAATAAGTTCTTTTCCTGCTTTTCGATTCAGTGTGCCTATTCAGCTTATTTTCCTATTCTCCAGCCTGCCTTTTCCTGGCTAACCATTTCCTTTTACAACTATATACAGTAGATGTTTATGGCTTCTCTTCTTCCTTTCTCAGACCCAACTATTTTTGCCTACATATTTCCTTTACGTCCTTTTTTGTTAACCTTTCCTCTTTCCCACCATAGCTTCTCTACTCAGTATATTTCCACTGCAGCAAATTCAATTTTAAATTTCTCTTTCAATATTAAATTTTGAAATCTTTCATTTACTTCTATCAAATCCCCCCTTTTGATTTTTATTACACTGAAAGGTCTTCATTATCATACTTAGAAAATCTTATAACCATTAACTGTATAACTTCTTCTTTTTGAGGCAAGTTAGCCCAGAGAAAGAAATATTAAAAAGGGCAGAAAAATATATTTTTCCTCAAAAGGACTTTTTAAAACCAAACCTGGCCCCAAATCTATCTCTCTGCCCCAAGCAAAACTTTAGCCCCATACAAATGCAGATGTAAAACCATCAGAAAATTGAAGCCAGAACAATCAAGAAGACAAAAGAGAAGATCTGCATACCCCATGCAAACTCTAGGAGTCATTAGTCCCATCACCTGGGAAGCAGGATATGATAATAGGATTAAATCACAGATATCAAGGCTAGACAAACATTCAGAAACAGCCTCAAGGTTCATGCCACAGGAACAGGAAACTATTCCAAACAAAAAGCTAGAGGGGGTATAAAAACCTACTACACCATGTGCTCATCTCTTCTCTCCTCTGCTCTTTCCTGAAGAACCATCTTTCTGCAATAAACTGTAACCTTCTTCCCAAAATAGTCGCCATGTTTGCTTATTTATTCCCAGCTTGGATGAACCAGGATGAAGACTTTACTTCTAACAATTTGGCACCCCGAGATGGGACTCCAAGCTAACCTCTCCAATGGACTGAGATTGGTAAGACCCATCTTGCCGGCAGCAGACCCCCTTGTGTCTGTGGAGAGGTTTCCCAGGCCTTGCCCATGTGGAACTAGGGTAGTAAAGGGAGTTTTGAGAATTTGAGCTCAAGGGCTGCTTTGGAAAGAAGGTGAAGGTGAGTACCTCTAAATTTTAAGTTTAAAGCCCAGGGGAACAAAGAAATGTGTGTATTTCTGTTTGTGTGAGTGAGAAGACATTTTTTTCCCAATCACAGTTGGATTTTGCTGCTTCTGGTCTTTCCTAGCCGCAGAAAGGATCTGTTTAATTGGCAGAACCTGGAAAGCATGGGGGTTTGGCCAGAGCACAGGACCTTTTGTTAGGGAAAAGGGAGAGGCTGTGTGAAAATGAAATGGAATGAGTGAATGAATTGGATTTGGGCAACTAGCTGGTAAGGCCCTGTAAGCAAAGCAAAGTTAGGAAATTAAGCCTCAAGAAGGGAGTGGCCACGTACCTTCAAGAGCAAGTGGAGGTGCCCACGGACATTAGAGGCGTCCATAAACAGTGGCGTGAAGCTGGCCGGTTGAAGAGTAGCCCATACCTTCTAACGAGGAAACCGGAAGTGTCTCTGCAGACCCCTTTTTGGTCTGAAAACGCGGCAGGATCCCTCAGAGGAGCTGTCCCACGAACTCTGTGAGGGATCCAGAGTGCTCCATGAGTCCCATTTTTACCGGACTCACAAAGAATCATGGTGGAAGGAAAGAAGTCTCAAAAGGAGGCTTTGACTGTGTAGTGCCCTTTAGCTTCAAGGGAAATCCCGTCATATAAGAATGGGAGGTTCCAATTCAAGGGCTGAGATAGGTTTCCCAGTTGAAAGCTTGCTCGAAGCCTGAGACAGGAATCAGCTTCCTGTCCAGCTGGAATGAAAAAGAGGTAGGTAAAGAAACTATATGGGGAAAAAAAATTATTAGACTTTGCTCAGGGCTTTGCTGGGAAACCAATTTGGCTAAATAAAGGTACTTAAAAGGGAAAATAAGAAATAGTGATTCATTCTCTCTCTCTCTCTCTCTCTCTCTCTCTCTCTCTTCTCTATGCAACCATATGGTATGTTTAAAATGTGTGCCTTCCCTAACTTGAGCTATCTGAAATTTATGGTGGGAATGACTAGGATGTGTAAAACTAAGACTTGTTTCCTTTTCTGTTCTCTTGTCTTTGTGTATATATGTTTGTCAAAGTCTGTGTGTGAGAAGTAAATGTGACTGTTAACTGTTTCAAATCCAAGGAAAAAGAATTTTAAATTCTGCTAGAAATTCTGCTTAAAATAAGCCACAAAAAGGAAATACCTCACTCTGTTTGTCTGGCCAACAGAGTGAAGAAAAAAAAATTGTGTTTGTTTGTTTGTCTTCCTCTTTCTCTCTGTGTCCTCTTAAGAACAGCCTTAAGTTAGCAGGAGGGAATGTTTTAAGTTCATCTGCTAGAACAGTGGTTCTTAACCTTTCTAATGCCGCTACCCCATAATACAGTTCCCCATGTTGTGGTGACCCCCAACCACTTATACATCACCGGGTGCCAGGGGCATGGCCAAAGAAAAGGGGGAAAAATGGCGGACAGCCTTGTTTGGTGACCCCCGTGAAATGGTCGTTCGACCCCAAATGGGGTCCCGACCCACAGGTTGAGAACCACTGTGCTAGAAAGATTTCACTCTTGCATTTAATAATATATAATAAAGTTGGAAGGGACCCTGGAGGTCATCTAGCCCAACCCCCTGCTCAGGCAAGAAACCCTATACAAACTTTATCAAATGCCTTACTGAAGTCCAAGAAAATTATATTCACAGCATTCCTCTACCTCACTAATTTTGTAACTGGGTCAAAGAATGCAGTAAGATTTGTCTAGCATGATCTGTTTAACAAACCCATGTTGGCTTTTAGTAATGACTTTGTTTGCCTCTAGGTGCTTGCTGATTATCTTTTCCAGAATCTTCCCAGGTATTGAGGTCAGGCTGATAGGTCTGTTGTTTCCTAGATCTATTTTTATTTTTATTTTTGAAGAAGGGAACTACATCAGCTCTTTCCCAGTCCTCTGGTAGTTCCCTAGTGCTCCAGGGTCTTTGATAAATATAGTTCAGTGGTTCTGAGATCACATCTGCCAGTTCCTTGAGAGCTTTGGGGTGTAATCCATGTGGTCTTGGTGATTTGAACTCTTCTAGGCTGGATAAGTGCTCACTTACCATTTTCTTGCCTATCTTGTGTTTCTAATCTTTTTTTTTATGGTACCATTTTTGATAAGTTGGACTGTTTGCTTTTTTATTATTTTTGACTGTGGTCACAAGCCTTAGTTCATTTTGAGCCTTAGCTTTCTTCACCTCATCTTTGCAGGTTCAGACTATTTGCTAATCTGCTGTAGTTATGTGCCCCTCCTTCCACTTTTATATTGATTCAAATGCATTCAAGACAGTTTCCATCATTGTTGTGCCCTAATTCTGTAGATATGTAGTTATTTTTTATATAAAGAAACTCTGCCTCCTCTTTTATTTGGTCTGTTTCTTTTAAACCAGTGTTTTTCAACCTTGACAATTTTAAGGCATGTGGACTTCAACTCCCAGAATTCCACAGCCAGCATTGCTGGCTGTGGAATTCTGGGAGTTGAAGTCCATGGGCCTTAAAATTGTCAAGGTTGAGAAACACTGTTTTAAACAATTGAAATCCCTCTAGCTCAGTGGTTCTCAACCTTTTTAATGCCGCGACCCCCCAACCGGTCGTAAGTCAAGGACTACTCAACCAGTCGTAAATCGAGGACTACTCAACTGGTGCAGCACCATTTGCAGAATGGGACTTTTGGCGGGCTCAGCAGGGCAGAAACAGCCTGGACAATTTCTATTGGCTTTTGAAAGCCAATAGAATTAGACTCTATTCAAGAGAGTCTATTCTATTGGCTTTCAAAAGCCAATAGAATAAAAGGGAGTAGCACAGCTAAGGAAAAGGGGGAAAAAAATGGTGGACTGCGTTGTTTGGCGACCCCCATGAAATGGTCGTTCGACCCCAAATGGGGTCCTGACCCACAGGTTGAGAACCACTGCTCTAGCTGAGTATTCCATTTGTGGGTTTTATCCCACCATGTTTCTATAATGACAACTATATTGTATTTGCCCTCATTCTTTATGACTGACACCTATGTGTTAGTCCACTTTGTGTGACACTCACTATTAGAAGCTTGATGTTGCTTGATATCAAGGTTGATATTCTTGTCCACACACATCTATGTTACTTGCACTGCTAACCCTGTAATTTTTTTGATCTCAATTAATTCACTGTCCCTTGTTTAGTTTAAATATTCCTCCAGAAAATCTGTGAGTTTATTGCCAGGTAACTCAGTCCCTTTCTTTGATGGATTTAAACCATTTCTTTTGTACATTGTTTCATTGGAATACCATTTCAAGGTTTCCAAAATTGTCATTTCTGATTATTATTATTTTTTTTTTGGTCAGCGTCTGTTGTTGGGTTAATTTCCTTCTCAATTCTGTCTAAAAGGTGTTAATTTTTGTTCCAGGGGGAATCCAGTGTTAAATTATTTTATTGGAGTGAGGAGGGGGTGTCCTGCCTGCTGGGTTCCTGCCCCAAGCTCTGGAAAATCATTCTGCAATGTGTTATAAATGAGTTTGTGTCCTAAATGGGTTTTATCTGTCTATCCTTTTCCTGAAAAATGTGTGTCTATCTACAAGAGCCTTTTGAAGCTCAAGTCTGCTTGTGTGGGGAAATAATTTTCCTAAGTTACTTTTCATATCCTATCACTTATTGTTGAAGCTACTATGAAACTTTTCTTATCCCAAATATATAAGCATTTCTCAATCTCTAAAATGACGTGGTCTATGTTAGAATAAATGTTCTCCTACCCTTGGCAAGTTGCACATATTAAAATATTAGGCTTTTAAAATTATTTGGAGTTTTCAGCATTCTCAAGCTGCCTAGCATTTTTTTCCCTCTTCCTTTCATGTTGCAAGTTCTTGTCCTTAATATGTTGCAAATGGTCAAATTCAAAGGTGAAACATTTCATTTTGTTTTTCCCCATTTGTCTATCTGTTTCTTTAATAACTGCAGTGTTGGGAAACCAATTAGTTAACCAACCCCAATCACTCCACATATTTTCATACTTTTGTTCAGGAGCTTTAGCCACTTTCCTGATTCCTTTTGCAATATCCATTCTGCTTCATGATTGTCATCTACCTTTAAATCCCAGAATTATTTTTTTTTTACCTTTATTTCCCAGGCTGTTCTGGTGTGTTGTCTTTAGTAATATTAGAAGTAGAATCCACCCCTCAAGATTATTACACAGTATTTCACACCCACAAATTGATCCACAATTTCAACAATAATAACAGACACAGCAATCACAGTGACAATAACAAAAGATATACATTTATCACCTAATTCTTACAATGTACAATTCTACGTTTTCAGTTTCTAATGGTATGACTTCTGTTTTAGTTATTCATTTTATCTGTAACAAACAACTTTTATTTCTCTGATGAGTCACCACTAACATCTTTGTTCTTCATCTAGAGTCACTTGAAATTCTAAAAGAGATATTCAAAATAGGTAGGGGTTCCTGGTCCACTACCCATTCAAGTCCTTTTAAACGTGGCTTTCTGTCCTTGTTCTGGAATAAACGTCCATCCTCTTTCAGGTCCAGTTACCACCTTTGCTCGTGTGTAGTGAGTTCAACTCTTCTCAGCCCTCCGGACAGCAGATTTAATATAAGGAACTTCCCTTCTTTGGTTGTAGAAGTTCCTCCTTCCATTTACGTATCAGCACCCAATGTCCCGGCTGGATCTTATGGACTGGAAATTCCAAAGGAGTTGTTTGCGCCACCAAGCCTTCCTGTCAAACAGAAGACAGAGACCCCAGTACTTGTTCTACATTTAGCTATTTGTCTCCCTCCTTTGGGAGCCTTAATCCTTTATTAACCCTTTTACATATCAAACATCCCTCTGTAGCCTTTTGGGCTATCTCATAAATTCCAAGGGTAGCATGGAATTTCAAATACATTTCTACCTATGCTTTAATTCCCCAATGTTTCCCCTCATATAGTTTTTGGATCACCATTCTTACAGTACCTTGTGATAACCACAGAATCCCCTTAAAACCATTTTTGTTGTTTGGTAATTATAAATCTACTGTAGCCTCAATCCTTTTACTATCTATTTTCCTTTCCCCTTCAACTATAATATATTCTAGATATTTTACCTCCTTTCATACCAATTGGGCTTTATTTGCTAAACACCCTCAATCCTTTCTTCTGCCAAAAAGTTGCTTTCCCATTTCTTTATAATTCCCAGAATAAGATCTTACAAAACTGGGAAGCTACATAAAAATGTATTTGCTTCCACAGCTTAAAAGTGGAGGAAAGAAACGAAAGAAAAAAAATCATTTGTCCTGTATCAGATAGATTATACTTGTCCATGGAAGCTCTATCAAAAATTGTCACATTTTTCTTTCTTCTCCCCCTTTCACCCTGATTAGATACTATGTTACAAAAATATAACTCAATAAACTTATTGTAAATAACACATTCAGGATTTTAAAAGGTAAAGCACATAGGCTCACCAATTGGCATTGGGCCAACATTTCTGGAATGCCTTTTGTCTCAGGCAAATAACATTCAAATCACTCTTGTGGCAGCACATCAAAGAACACCAGGATAGCTAAGAAGACAAAAGATTGTCTCCTCCTTCCCCCACTCACTAAACCAGACAGAGTAAAAATTTATACAAAACCTTTGCTTGAAACAGCCCTCAGGAGGAAAATTGCCATAACATTTACAGAAGTGGCTTGCCAAAACCTCCCTCCTAGGGCTGAACAAAAATAAACCAGCCCCAAAACATTCAGCCAACCCTCATGGCTAAAGCAGGATTTGAACTCAAATCCAGCCTTGCA